CCTATAATTTGAGCCAGAAATAAAGCTTGTGTTGTTCTGTCACAAATCTCAAAAAGACAGTGCCACAGCAGCACAGCCCGCTCAGCTGGCATCTTTTCAGGCCATTTCTGAAAGACTGTACTTATTGTATTTGGGTGGCTAACTGTGTAAAGTGCTTTAGGATGTAAATGACACGGTGAGCGGGGCTGCTGACTGTCCTCCCTGTACTTACCCTCACAGCTGCGCTTGTCAGCAGCCAGCTCATAGCCTGGGTCACAAGCGCACTTGTAGCTGCCCAGCGTGTTTACACAGCGTTGCTCACAGCGACCGTTGTCTGGATTGGAGCACTCGTCCGTCTCTGAAAACACAGAAATATGTTAGGGACCTTTAAGCTGGCCCCACTGGTTCAATGGCTCACAAGAGAAGCCCCCACCCACCCCTCCCTCGAAGCCAGGCAAAGCTGGCCTCACAGACCCCCGAAAGGTACAAGCAGAACAAATATGTGATTCCTGGAACATGTCTGGGTATACAGATGTTGACATTTTCTACTAAAAGTTAACAGCCTTTAACCTCTCACCTTTGAAGAAATTGGCAGCAAAGCCGGCCTTATTGACGGAGCCATCTGAAACAAATTTCATCCACAGATGGTTGGAGCTCGTCTTAATGTCGTCTGGCTTGTCGTAGCCGCAGAAGCGGCCCAGCAGAGGGCTGTTTTCAGAGATCCCATCGCGCACCTCTAGGTAGTCGTACGCACAGCTGTCATGTCTCTCAATCTGAAGAGATGAAGGAGATGGTTTGAAATTTTAATAAACAACACACACACAAAAAAAAATCAAAAAGAGGTTGGATTTGGGTAAAGAAAATACGATTGTGTACCTCAAAAGACTGGAAAGTCAGGCCCACATGAAAGCCCTGACTGACAGAAACCTTCCATATACAGACTTTGTTGGGCCTGTAGTCGTCGGGGTAGTTGGGGGACTGAATCTGGCCGTTGTCCTTCTTCACCTCGCCACCACAGATGGCTGCAGGCAAACAATAAAGAACAAAGCTGAGCTCTTTTGATAGCTGTATAATCAATAACGTGTGTACGGAAAAGCGTGTCCTATGTGTCCATGCACTGATTTATGCAAATGCCTGCGCACATATGTACACATTGTTCCTTTGAAGGATGTGGAAACAGTGGAGCTGGCTGTGAAGGCAAGCCAAAATCTGATTAATGCAGTGCTAAGACCCTGACACATCAGCAGCAGGAGGGCCAAGAAACGTGCATATTGCTCCAGCTTCGGAGCACATTGTTGGACGTGTGACTGGCACGAAGTTTAGTCAGCTGAGCAGCATGCGGCGGGGACAGGCGCTTACCCTCGTAAACGGCGGAGAAACCTTTGCCCACCCAGTTACTGCTGCTGCGAAACTCGATCCACAGCCGGCTGTCGGTGGAGATGATGGGCTCGGGCAGCTTATCGCCGCAGAAGCGACCTGGATCGCAGGTCAAAAATATAAACCGAGATCAGATCATCATGACACTTGCAACAACTTCAATCCATCTACATGCTCACAGAGACGAATTATGTGAAGATTAAACAGAAAATGACTAGCATTGTTCAGGTATATAGAGAAATGAGACAAAAACAATGCAAAATATAATATTATCAACTCATCACTGAAACATACTAATTTTCTAGTTTTCTAGCAATAATCTAAGTATCTGGAAAGAGTTAATTTATCTGATTTAGCCTGACTTAATCATTGATAAATGGTTAACATTGAAAACATTATTAATAAAGGATGTTTGTTTCCAAAACAGATATTGTGTAATGTTGCTACTAATTATTATTATTATTATTATTATTATTATTATCATCATCATTATCATCATCATTATTACTACAACAACATTATCCTAAGACCAGTTGTAAACGGCATGAAGCAGTTGTGATGACATGCAGAAATGGGAGTGACAGAAGCGGTAGGAGGTTCCTAAAGAGACAGAGGCCAATTTCAAGGTGTTTAGAACTGGATATGATGCAAAGTCAAATTTATTTTTGATTTATACAAATTTACAGCACTTTAATAACAACTGAAAGTGACATAATTGCTTTTGATATAGAATTGAACTATGGCATATGCCTGAGAAACACGTAATATTGGCACTTTAATAAGCTAAAAATTAATGCATTTATTAATGCTTTACCTATGAAGGCTAATTATTTACAAAACCATGTTCATTCATGCTTAATAACTCGTGAATTAACTATTTTAATGATTTGTGTAAAGGAACTTGACCTTCAGGGTTTTTTTATACATTAACAAACATTAAAAACAAATTGTTCACTTTCGTGGTTTCACAAAAAAAGATTTAACTAACTACAAGCAAATGCCTTTAATTATTGATGTACTACAGGATTAACACATAGTCAGTTGTTGTTCTTTAAGCATTAATATACTGTATGTCTAACACATGGTGTGAAAGTCCATTTATATGAGCATTTACATACATAAACACACAGTAGATAGAATAATTAAGTGATGAGTTATTAAGCATGAATAAATAATGAGTAAGTAATTTGCCTTTATGGGTAAATAAATGTGTTAATTTATAGCTTATTAGGTACGAATCATCCTTAATTGTCAATGCTTTCAAGGTTAAATAACCATTTATTAATGATTAAGTAAGGTTAAATAAGGTGTAATTATAAAGTGTTGCTGATGGTTTCTGTCAAACTGACCTTTGAGAGGTGCTTTCCTCCAGTAGCCATCTCTGATCTCCACATGGTCGTACCAACACAAGTGACTCCTGTACAGATCCATGGAGGTGAAGTTCAAAATGATCTTTAAAACCAAGAAAAAATGATTATTGACACAGCAAGGGTCAAAGGTCACACAGCAACAATGCTCAGACCCTGGTACATTTTGGCTGTGTCCAAAACGACAGGCCGGGTCCTCCGGAGGACCCAGACTATCCGGTCGAGGTGGACCGGGTCCTTAGTAGACTGGGAAGACCGGAAAAAAAAAAAGGCTGTGAATTTATGACGGTCTAGCCTCCCCTCCACCCCGGCGTACGTCATGTCACCTAGTAACCATGACGACGCTAAACAGAAGCAAAAATAGATCAAAATTAGAAAAAATATAAATACAGTATATTTGTTTTATTAATATCACAAAACAATAAAATTAACTTAAAGGTAACATTTGAAGAACTAATTGACCCGCTGTAGGTGCATGTTTATTTCGTGTTATTTTTTGACAAAAATAATATTTAAAAACACATCTATACAAACGAAAAAAGTATTAGAATTACAACCACTAGAAATTTTTAATTTTCATATCGCCATATTTTTATTTAAAACATATTATTTTCTCTTGTTTTGTCCGCTATTACTAGCTTTAAAAAATTGCTGGTTGGGCTGCAGTGCATTATGGGATATGCTGGGCCGGGAAGGATCCATCAGACCTGTCCTTCAAATCGGGGAAAAGGAAGAACGTATTTGTCGGTCGCATTGGAGGAGTGTTCGGTTTGGGACGGCCTCCGTCGCGGCACTGTGACGTATGCGGCCGACGAATTCGACCTTCGGAGGACCCGGCCTGCCGTTTTGGACACAACCATAAATGCTCCATACAAAAAATAAATACAAATATAAGAAAAAATGGATTTTTGAGTTTGAGTTTTGTTGATTTTGTTTAAGGTTGGTGAGCCTTACACCAGTGACTAAGCTACTTTCGGTTTGAGCGGTCCTTGTTTGCAGGATCCTCCAACTTGGCGTTCCCACGTACCTTTTCCCCGGGTGTGACTGATATTCTCCAGATGCAGTGCATGTAGGCCGAGTATCCGTTTGGGAAGCCGGGAGAGGAGAAATTCCCGTTGCTGTCCTGCAGACTGTCCCCGCACTCTGCACGTGGACACAAACACACACACACCTGAGCCATGCACGACACTGCCAAACCTTTGTTCGGCTCCACAAACCAACAGCTCGGAAAAAAAACCCCACCCCCCAACCCCACTGCACGTCACAGTTCTGACACTGGATGTGAAACAAAGGGCAGCTCTTTTATGTGTGAAGGCACATCTGCTGATAATATTACCCACATCCCTGCATCTCACCCTCCCTCCCATCACCCACTCCAACAGACGATCACACAAAGGAGTGGAGAGAGTGTCAGACACTTTCTACGAGCATCCTCTGAAAATAAACCTAGCGCTCTATAAATAACGCAGCCTCCTGGAGGATGTGATGCATTATGTACATGTCGCCAGCAGAGAGAGAGAGAAAATAACAGATAATAAAAAAACAAAAGGGCTGTTCTTAGTTTGACTGACAAAACTTGAGCTGTCGAGGACCGAGTCCAAATCGAGGGGCTTCTGCCAAGTGAAGGGGGGGAAGATGTGTTTAATTAAGGCACAGAGGAAATAATAAAGTATCTTCAGCTGTTCGTCTTGCATTCACAATTACCTCGGCGTTATTTTTACCTTGGGCTGTATTCAGTAGGAGTTAAGAAAGCATGTCCAGTTGTTTGCCTTCGCTGCTTCGGATGGTGAAGTGTGTGTTCATGTGTGTGTGTGTCAGAAAAGCAGTGAGTAACCAGAAGTCTGCCAATCTTACAGCAATAACCAGGCGCACATCAGGGATGACAAACACTCAGAGGAATGCTGCATGAAGTGCAGATCTGTGGCTCTTTAAGGAATCCCACCCCCCCCTCCAACAGCACGTGCCACGTCGTCCACTTTTCCTTGAGAGGCTGAGGTGGTTGTGATGTAAAAGGCAGGACGTTTGACTCACTTTACACCTAACCAAGTGAGTCCACTCCTGGTGACCCCGGCAGTTCAAATATGAAGCTCAGCTGTGGAGACTTCGCCAACAGACTCTAAAGTCAGATAACGCCAGCAGAAGGCTCTTTTTTCTACCACACATCTGTTATTTCAGCATATATTGTTTACTTCAACCTTAAATCTCCTCCCTTTTTTGTCTTTGAAGGCCTATACCTAGTTTGGTCAGGAGAAAACAAACAAACAAAAAAAACCAGGATCAGTTTACACAGAACAAACTGTGATGACGACTCGTTGTCTCCCAAGAACACTTTTAGCATTTTCCTCCTCAGAAGACAGACTGTTCTTTAGCGTCTATCTGGGAAGCAGCGATGAAAACTCCCTCGCTCAGGCTTGTGTTTACACTCCTCCCTGTCTGAGAGACTACAACGCTGTAGTCAGGGAGTCCAACTGTTCAATAGTGGATGAGCATAGTGGGAGCTGCATCAGGGAAAGTCAGGAGGAGCCACAGGCTCGGAGGATTAGGTTGGAAACACGTGCAAACGGGAAAAAAAAAAGGAAAAAGAACACATAGCAGACAGGATCTGTCATTTCGGTCTTACTGGAGCATTTGTAGAGTTTGCGTGCCTGTGCAATATCCCCTTTGCTGAGTCGGGTTCTCTGGCCGATGGGTGGTCGCACTCCGTTCACGTCGTAACGTGGCAGGATGGTGTCCAGGAAGATGCCTCTGGTGTTCACAGACAGAGAATAGTGTTAATGTTGCACACACCTCCTTCAAAACAAGCACGCACAAAACAAAACACGCCCGCTCGAGTGGTTAAACCATCGTCATTATGATCATTTATAACTGTTAAATGATTTGTTTGTCTAACAGCCAAATATAAAAAAAATGAATAATGTCCTTTCTGACGCTGGAAAACAAAATGTGGTTTAGAGAAATATTCAGCGAATCTATTAGAACACTCATTTTAAAACTTCAAAACTGTAATATGCACTTTGTGACATAAGCGTAAAAACTCCACAAATGCTCTGCTACACAATAATAGCTCCTTTTATTGTTCAGAGGTTTGTGGAAATACATTTGATGCAATCGTAAATTCAGTTTTCACACAGCAAAAAAGTACAAGGATTGTTAATATATCATTTGATAGTTTAGTCCTACTAGCAACACCTTTATTATTAGAGTAGTATTTTTTCTAGCATATGCATGAACTGAGAGGAAACAATAAGTTTACAAGGGTCAGTGTTTTAAATTTCACCAGACATATTGCGCCTTTTAGTTTTTGTTTGAGGATTTGAAAGTGTCTGTGTGTGTTTGACTGTTTTGAAAATGACAGCAAAAATAAACAAAATTACTGGAAGGAAATTGTTAACGTGTTCGTTTACCTTTTTATGTGTTTGTAACGGATAGAAAATACACCAATACAGTATATGAATGATGAATGTGAAAAGAGTTCATGCAGCCACACCAGAGTGCTCGGTCTGAAGGCAGTTTATTCTCAGTTCTGCGTTCAGCCTCTCAGTTCAGGACATCACTTCATTATAACATCGTCTTCAGGACCTGACTCCGCCCATTTTATTGCATCATCATTAATGGCCAGCCTATGACTGAAAGTCAGGTTTTCATACAATTTTCCTGTTCTAATGGAAAAACAACAGTTGAATTAAGTGTTGAATGTGTTCAGGCATGTATCTCATCTATTAGTACCTCCTGCCCTGTGTAATCACATTTTTTAAGAGGGAAAGTGGTTACAATCTGAAGGGATTAGAAATGTTTATAAAACCTAAAATTTGAATAAATTTAAAGGACAGCTGTACTTCAGTCCAAGGAATATGATTATGGAATACTCCAGATAGTGATTGTAAAAATGCTGGCTGGCTCAATTAATTTGTTTAAAAGATGGATAAAAAATTATTTGTTAAAGAAATGTGAAATTCTATAATTTGTATTTATAAGAGTTGCTGTTTACGAGCTGAAGATTTTGTTTTGTTATTGTTTGAAACTATATATATAATAATATATATTTATTTTTAAATAGGGGCAGATATGATTGTTTCTTCTTTCTGCTACTTTTCTTTTTTTTAATTTGATATGTTTTTTTGTATGTGAATTTGTTTGTTTTTAAATTAAATTAATAAATATTGTAAAAAAAACTATTTAAAGCTACCCAGACCAGTCTGTACACAAATCATCAATTTAATCACAAAACTAGTCACACAACAGTTCATAAAAATATATCATTAGTCACCTAAGAAAAGACTGTAAAATGTGCAGTGCTTTTAAAAAAGGTCAGTAGTAACTGAAAAAATCTTTTCAAAATAAGACTACATACGAATACGATCCACTACGAACCCCTGTGATGACAGAGCAAAACTTTAATGATGCTAAAATGTCCTGTCAGCTTCATCCTCTAAATATTTCTATAAAATCTCTCATTTAGAGAAAATCTTTTGATGATGAATTGCAATACACGTGTGCATGTGTGTGTAAACTACAACTCACCCTTATTCTTCTTATTTATTTTTAAAAATAGGTTCTTCACATGCAGCAGACAAAACATTTTAATTTCTTCAGAGTATTTGAGAGGTAAATAAAGGGCCTGAGTTGTGAACGTGCACCATGTTTTGTCCAAAATGAAAACTATAAATTGGCTCAGGTGACGTGTTAGATAGCTTTAAAAATGACAGAAAAGTTGGAACAAAAGGCTGCTCTTCATCACGCTGCCTTACTTGACACTTTGCTACTTTATCATCTTCATTTTTATGAGTATTGGCGAGGAACTGGCCGTTCCCATGGTGACATGCCTACCAACGCCAGGCATGTGCAAACAGAGCAGCCTGAGCTAACGGTTTACACTCTGCCTTGCTGCTGGTTTAAAAAAAAAAAAAGACGCCACTCAAACCAGTGTCAGAACAGACAAAAGATACCCAGGCAGCTCTCTATTTAAGTTGGCACCGGTCCACACACCCAAACTAAATAAATACCTCTGGAGCAAAGGATGGGGGTAAAGTAGGGCTGTGGGTCGAGTGAAACAACCCTGAAAAAAATATTTTAAAAAAACGCATGAGACCGGCAACGCTCGTCCCCAGGAGACACAGCAAAACATCAAGACGAGCCGTGAAATCTTCCCAACAACAAAGGCCCGGGCTTCCCACGGTGATTTACTGTAAAACACACAGCGGACACGCCGGCTACCAACGGCCCAACAAAGAATGACTCTGCCACAGGTAAATCAGCCAATCAGAGCCAAAGAAAAAGTGTCCTGAATGACCCATGAAAAGCCAACAGGAGCCTCCCGGCTGCTAAAACAGCAGCAGCCACTCTCTTATTTCTGAGCTTATTGATCAACACGGTTCAATGAATCAGGAAAGTGAACAGGATGGATTACTCCACTAAAAAAAAAGAAAGAAAGAAAATAAAAAGGCTAAACGGCTCCATTGTGCAGCGAGCTGTACTGAAAACCTAAAAGATTAAAAGGTTAAATCCAGATCACGGATCATGTGTGGCAACATTCAAGTGTGCTGAACTGATTAACTTAATATGAGGTCAAACTTTCCTTTAAACCCGCCCAACAACAAAAGATAAATTGCAGATTATCTTTCAATAACAGATGTTACTCTGTTTCTGTCTGGCCCTTTGTTAATCTCTAATGTAATAATTTAAAAAAAAATCTTATTTGTAGCAATGCTTCACCTCTTCTCTGTGCGAGCTGCATTTTTAACCTGCAGTTTGGACGCACAGAGCCAGACAGGAATTTCTGTATGTTGGCCTACATCCAGCCTCGGCGTCTGTTTAGACAAAGATTCCCTCTCTGCTTCCCAGAAGCTGGTTTGCCACAAGAGCACGGCAGCAGATCTGGGGGGAGAGGCTGCTCCAGTCAGAGGGTAAACCAGGAGAACCAGTGATGTGGAATACACATGTAGCTGACAGGGAGGACCAACAGCCCACAGCTGCTGCTTCTATCAGACTGAGGAAGGAGTCAGCAGTCTGGGTTGTGTGTGTGTGTGTGTGTGTGTGTGTGTGTGTGTGTGTGTGTGTGTGTGTGTGTGTGTGTGTGTGTGTGTGTGTGTGTGTGTGATCATGGACTTATCTACTATAGGTAGAACCTGTAAAGTTGGTGTGGATGTTCCTGCAGCTGCCAATCTTTAATAAAGCAGCAGCCTAAAAGTGCAGGATTGTATTAACACTGTCATTGTACTCAACTTGTTATGGTGCAAATATTGTGTGTAACACTGTGGAAAAATTCTGGACATTTATTACACCTGTGGTAGATCGCTCATTGAATGACTTCAGTTTGCAGAAATACATTTAATATCGACCAGATGGACAAGCTAATGGCTAATCTGAAAACACAAAACAAATACAACAGGATTTTATGCCAAGTAATAAAAAATGCTCTTGGCAGACTTTTAAAACAAGGTCACACAAGGACTGAGCAGATCTTATACAATCCAGGTTTGTTAAGAGGGATAGTGTTTATAATTTTAAGGGACTTGAAATGTTTGTGAAACCAAAAATTAAAACTAATTTAAAAGGAGAGACGCACCTCTGTTCGAGGAATTAAACTGTGGAACAACTTGGACAACCTTAAAAATGCTGGAACAATTTACTCATTTGGTAGAATGCTTCAAAGTTTTTTTTTAAATGAGATATAAACAAAGTACTGGTTGAAATTGGTATTTCTGTTGTGATGTTGTTTTGTTAATTATTTTAAGTTATACTGTGAATTAAGTTGAGTTTAAATTTCTGCATGTTGTTCGTTTTATGGATACATATTTTTTAAATGGGGCAGATGTTACAAGATTTTTTTATCTTTCTGCTCCTTTTCATTTGACCATGCTGTGTTGTGTGTTTTTGACACGTTATTTTCATTTATATCGTTTTAATTGTTTGTCCAAATGAAATAAAATCTGTAAGAGAAATAAATAAAATCAAATCTTATTTAAAACACTCAAAAAATGTGTTGGATCCAACTCAGCTGAGCAAGTTTCAGATTTAAACTGAAAGTTGTTTTACATTTTCTCTACTCAGTGAGCTGAGTGGAACCTGTTGACATAACTCGGTCAAGTAAATCCAACACATCTGTTTTTTCAGTGAAGGCTGTTTTACTTCAGCAGAAATCCACGTTGGTCTTGGCAGGGCTCAGATTAGCCGTTAGCTCATCAACCTGGTCAGAACTAAAACCATTTCCTCCAAACTTAGGTCATTCATCGAGCTATAACTATTATTTGTTTCAAACTTTTCTAGAGAACCCTACTTCAGAAGATCTGAATTCCATGTTAGGTCCACAACACTCATTTAGAAGTTGTGGGGAAAACTATTTGCAGTTGAGTAAAATGTTGAATATATCATTAAAATTCTGAATTTAGAAGCTAACTGAGGTAAACCTCTTCCCTGGGATTGATTTGTGACTCTGCTGTAAATAACCTCAGCTTCAAATGAGTAGAATTCGAAGCACCAACTAATGCTTGTTGTGAGGTTTTAACGCCCAGGGGGAAAAAAAAGAGGAAAAAGTTACCAGAACCCATTAAATTCATCATTTAAAGAGCTTCCAGGAACGTTACAAGGTGCTTTACAGTGTGAGGGCAGAAGAACGTTCTTACAGCCTTGAAAGTGTTGGACAGAAATCTGGTTATGATGAGACGGTTGCTACGTTTGCTGATTTCACTCAGATACCACAAACTGCAACACCTTACAGAAAAGTTGGCAGGAAAAGCAGCAGGAACGGAGAGGAGGAGCCTTAATCTGAACATGATGTGAGAAAAAGCTGCTACATCACAGAGCATTCATTTAAATCAATCTTAAAATCCTACAAGGTTTTTAAACATAATGTTTATCCTGCCAAACAGCTGAGAGTGAAAAGTGTAAAGGATATGGTTGAGCTTAAAGTGCCACGTCACACAAAACTATTCTAGGCTTCAAAAACATAAACTTAGAGAAACAGAAAGTTCAACAGAAAGTTACCAAATGAAACCAGATGCATGTTTTCTTTAGTATCACCTCATGCATCGAGTTTATCTTTTGACCCTTGGTGATCCCAAAGCCGCTACGTAACATAAGCTTCTCAAAATGTGACAGAAAATCAAATTAGTGCTTCTCCTGTTTCCCTAAAGCGAACATAATGTGAGCACTGACTGTTCAAATCAAAAAGGTCAAGTTTGAGAAACCGACAACAAGCCTGTTCACCGAATATTTTTGGTTTCTTTAATAAGATCCACCTTCTGTTCTCAATAAGCCAAAAAAAAGGTAAAAAACACTGAGATCCAAGACAGAAACTCAAGTAACAGCAGGCTGTTTTTTAAAAAAATGTGAATACCTCCAGCAACATGTTTTCTAGTGATTTATTATTAAAAAAAAAGAAGAACTGAGAGTTCCAGTCTGTCCATATCCTCAGATGTGGGAAACATGCCAGATTACTCAGCAATCGCCTGCGGACACAGAACTTAACAGCTCTAGACAGTCTTTCAACATTATGTGCAAAAATGGAAAACGGGGGCAATGGGTTAAAGGGTTGCGGCTCAGAGGCAGAACAGCTCGGTCTGACTCGGCCCGAGACCGTTATTCATGCTGAAGCAGTGGAACTTGGCTCGGCTCCTACCTGGAAAACGTGTTTCGAGCGTAATGCATGATGCTATCAAAGTCGTAGATTTCTCCCAGAGAGTCCACCTCCCCCGGTTCCATCTTCAAAAAGTTATATTCTTGTCCTGAGAGAGAGAAACAAAAGTGGAAAAGTACAAATGAAATATGAAGCCGAGTCACACCTCATCTGTGTCAAAGGTAAAAACTGATGTGATTAGTTCTATATATGCAGAGTTGTAAAGTAACTAAGTACAAATACTTTTTTTTACTGTACTTAAGTAGAATTTTTGGGTATCTGCACTTTACTTGAGTAATTGTTTTTCAGCCTACTTTTTACTTCTCCTTCTTACATTTTCACACAGTTATCTGTACTTTCTATTCCTTACCTTTTTAAAAAGAAGTAGAAAGTTGTTACTTTTATTTGATTTTGCTTGTTTTCATTCCAGCTTGTTATTGTAAAAAAATAAATACTATTCATATAAATTGTGCCTCCTAGATAGAGTGAATTTAATTGTGTTTGAATGAGAAGTATAAATTTATAAAATTCTGATATTGTATTAGTTTGTACACAAACAAATCCTGTCACACTCCAGCAGGACATAATCATTAAAATAAAAGGACTGTACTTAAGAAGTATTTGTATTTCATGAATTATATTATTGCATTTGGCTGCAGCCCTCAGATAGATTTTTATTTTGGGGAAAATGTTTGGTCACCCTTGATATATGTATATAAACTGAAACAGCTAGACTAAAGCATCCTAAATTTAAGATAATTTATTATTTTAATACAACAGTCATTTCTGCAGTTTTTGGGGAGGTCACCTCCTAATAAATGTCATTACAGAAAATCTAATTACTCATTTTAAATCAATACTTTTACTTTTAATACTTAAGTACAAAAAGTATCAGATACTTTAAGACTTTTACTCAAGTAATATTCCTAAAGGAGACTTTAACTTTTACCGAAGTAATTTTTTGGTAAGATACTTGTACTTTTACTCAAGCATCACTTTGTGGTACTTTATACAACACTGTATATATGGACAAACGTGTCCTGACCACTCCTAACTCGTTGTATGTTTGCATTAAAGATCCTGTCAGGAGGTTACTCTCAGGTATTATGTCTGCTCCTACCTGGCTGAATGTTGTCCCTGATGATGCTGACGTGCTCGTCTCGATCGGGCCTCGTGTGCTCGTGCCAGAAACCGATCACGTGGCCCAGCTCGTGCACCACAATACCAAACTTGTCACAGTTTTTGCCGATGGATATGGCCTGGGGACCCCCTCCGCGGCGGCCCACGTAGGAGCAGCACCTGCAGATGCACAAATTCAAACAGTATAGAGACCTGACGTCAGGGATGAAACCAAATTACTAAGACACGTGAGGGAACAACAGACGGTGGGGGTTGACTCTAATAACTCGGACATTTCACATTCTGATTGTGTATAAAAAGAAGCCCTGACAATCCCAACTACCTCTGGTATTTATTAAAAGAGTCATGTGAGAGGAGCTATCGTTAACACACGCAGCAGTGACATTTATTTATACGGCCGCCAATGCAAATTGTGCGAGTGATGCTGGAAGCTGGCTGGCTGCAGCGCTCCACCTCAGCGTGACATGAAAGCTTCAGAGTGGGAGTCTGCAGGACGGGCACACACATAATGGCCCTGTGGGCCAGACAGCCGCTCTCTAATTACTGCAAGCCAAGTCCAGCTCTCTTGAGACACGCCTTGAACTTTGCACAGGACAGATGGGGGCCTGCTGAATATGCAGCGGAGTCAAGATTTCCCACTGCTAACCGCTGCTGCCTGTGGATAATGTCATCCTTGTTGCTCAAAAGGCCAGCTACCAGGCGGGCTAAAAAAAGGATCTTTGCTGTCGGCTGGTGAAAGTTCAGCTTTGTGAGTTCTATCTGCTCTTTGTTGGGCTCTTTGAGCGGAATGATACAAATCTGTCTGAGAGGTAAATTGTGTAATGACATAATGGGGTCAGGCTTGCAAACGGAATCAGTGTGAGGTTTGTGTGTCCACTGCAAACATCTCAGCTTCCGTGTCCCAAAAAAACGATCAGTTGGTTTTTGCTCAAAAATATTTAACCTACAGTATATAAAAAAAAGGTGAGGATGTCTCCCTGTGTGTGCCATCAGGAGCTCCACAAACCATGCAGTTTGATGACGGGGCAGAGAAAATTCCTTGCCACGGAGAGGCTGTTACTTTCAGAACGGGCAGCGAGCTAAAGAACGCCTTCCCGACTGCAGAGAGAGGACAGGAAGCAAGGGCGCTCACGCACCAACTAATTAGCTGTGGATAAAACAGGCTCAGCAGAGTCTGACTGTCGTTAACTTCCTTCGCACGAGGAGCTTAACACCCCACCGACTCACCCACACGGACGGTAGGTGAAGACAATGTAGCTCTCCTCCTGGGTCCTCTCTATAAAGGTCACACAGGTGTGCTTCTCCCAGTGCCGCATGGCTTGGCGGAATATCGCCCGCTGGCTGCCTGAATGGAAAGTCAGGAAAGGGCAAGAAAACACAGTTAAGACACAGAACTCCACCGGAAGAAGCAGCTCAGTGGGTGGCAGTTTAAAGGGACAGTTCAAATCTTTTAAAGAACGGAGGTTCTGTGATAAAGATGTGAACAATGAATAGAACAGGCAAACTTCCGCCTCAGTTTTTGATTGCAAAAAACATTAAGTTATTAGTAAATAACTATGAAACTGGTTCATGAGGTGACGTTTGCTTGAAACTCATTTTTGAATCTTTTAAAATGGCAAAGATTCAGATTCAACTAAAGCTGTTCAAAGAGGTATCTACAACAGGTTAGATATTATTTGCTCACAATTCTTCAGCAGAAGCCCATAAGAAGCCGTTGTTAACAAGCTTTTCTGCTCAAAACCTAACAAAATGAATACAATTTTAATATGAACTTATATTTTTGTATGTATTATGTGAAGTTTTTAGGCTGGATTTAATAGATTTAAGTCACACATAAGAGTCACATCTTATGACTGAGATCATTTTTGTTGTAAAATATGAGTAATTTTCTTCTACAACTTCCCCTTTTAATCAGAAATTGGGTGATTTACAGAAAGAAGCATGATTTCATCAAGACAACATAACTCATATTTAGTCACTTCCAGAAATGAGTTTCTACAGAAGAGGATTGAGGCAGCACAGTAAAAAAATTCTCTTGGTTCTGACTTTATTCTCAGAATTGTGAGAAAAAAAATTCAGAACTCAGGAAAAAAAACACTTCTGTAGGTCTCAGAGTTTTCTGCTCATAATTTGTGAGTAACAGAGAAGCAGCAGCTAAAATGTAACAATGATGCTAGGCTGGACCCGATGCAGTACGTGATGTGTGAACCTGTTACCTACCACTAAAGTTACCACTGATGACATAAGGGATGACACCTTCAGGCCAAACGCGTTCAGGTCTGGAGGTGGCAGCTCTTTTCCTGCGCTGTGAACCTGCTCTGTTCTGATTGGCCGATCCTGAGGAGTTCAAATGAAACAAATCCGTTAAAAAGAAAGCCGTTCAGCTGCGGAGGACGATGGGATTGTTCCTCCTCCATCTGCACCCGAAGACAATAGCGACTTAGGAAAAAAAACTGAGCAATTATTCAACCAGCGGGGAGTTTTTCAAGCTTTATGCCGTTCAGACATTAAATTAATTATTCCTTATTTGCCACTATTCAAATAACTTTGTTCTCCTGCTTTATGAGTTTCTTACCATTTTTTAAAGAAATTTTCATAGAAGGCAAATGCTTTCTTCTGTAAAATTAAATTCGCCATGTAAATGTCACTCCACCATGCGTGACCTGTTACCATGGCCACTAAGCCCCCACCTAAACCTGGTGGTTTAATTGCAAAACATCCACATGTGAAGCGCATATTGCATGACCACGTGACTGTGCTGCAGAACAAGAGCTGATTAAAAAAAAGATTCAGTCATGTTAAACATAACCATTAAAAAATAAAAGTTATAAACTCATTGTTTATAAGTGAATAAATGAGGTTTGGTTTAAAAAACAAAAATAAATACATAAATAAATCACATCTTATGTTTGTAAAAAGAAGAATAATTTGTCAAGCAAAGCTACTAATTGTGTGGTAATATTGTAGAAACATTAACTCTGAAAAGGAAAAATAAATAAGTTTACTGTGAACCCTTATCATCATCATCATCATCATCCTCATGTTAACAGAGACGATTCTTCATCACGTAAAGCTCAGTTCAAAAGAAGCCATAAAACCTTACTATAAAACAAAAATGATCCACATTTATGAGGGTGATTTGATTTGATTTGATTTATTTATTTAACAGGAAAAAATTATNTTTAGGGTGTATTCAGACCAGGAAAGTCCTTTGGTCCAATTGGTTGGTCCAGACCAAAAATGGACTTTATTTTATTTTTTTCGTGTGGTGCAGTTTGCATTCACATTGTGCTTTTTTGCAAAAGAACTATAAGTTGTAAACAAAGCCATGAGGCTGACGATCATTGCTCCCATTGGACAAAAAAGGACGGGGG